GAAACGCTGGGTGGTTCGCAGTCCATGGCCGAAAAAAAATGGGACCGCAGGCCTCTCTTTCTTTTTCTTTTCCTCTGTCCTTCGGAAGATCCAGAAATTTCCAGGTGTTTTTGTTTAGCGACATGACACAAATATACACAAATCAATAAAAATTGATCCAAAGGCAGTGGCCTGGGGGGAACACTTAAGTGCCATCACAAGACTGTTCGCCAAACTGATTCGCTCTCAGTTTCCCAGCCTTGTGTTTTTTGCCCTTGCTGTCTTTCGCTTTCTTTGCTTTCTTTTCGGACTCACTGTCCTGGGCCAGGGCATCCTCACTGTCCTGTGCCAGAGCAGCCTCCCCGTTCTGTGAATTCCAACGTCGCAAAATTGCTGGAAGCTGACTCCCAAAAATTTCATCGTTGAAAAGGATGGTCGACAGACTGTCTATATCCATATTTCTGGGGGAAACCAACATAACTATGGAAAATCACCATTTTTCATGGGAAAACTCACTATTTCTATGGCCATTTTCAATAGCAAACTGTTAAATCACCATAGGTTGGAATTCAACTTGAAACAAAGTCGTCCTTCAACTTTGATCGCACTAAGCGTGAACCCCTTTCCTGCGCAAACGCGACTGAAGCGAATAGACTCGACCCTGAAGGGCTTGCGCACTCGCTTGCGCACTCGAAATCGAAATCTCACTTGCGCACTTACAAAAAAGAAACAAACAATCAGGCGCCCCTCCAGGAAATTGTAAGTTTCAAACCAACCATAGAATCAAAATGTCATTGGTAAAATATCAACCAGCCTCCTACAATTACATTCCTGAGTATCAAATCAGCAACCCTCGTGGAACCCGCCTGAACCGCCAGCCTCATTTTTGGGGATGCTGAGGATCATTCCACTTCGTAGCTGAAGCCAAATGAATAATTACTTTGAATCCAGTTGTACAATAAACCATAGAAGTACATGGAATAACCATGAATAAGCCCACATTTCGGAGAGTTACTAATCTAGATTATCTAGGGTTACTGCTTTCCAATCAAAATCTTTCCTACACGGCCACAAGAGGAAGCGCTTCCAACAGGGGCCTCCCGCCGTTGCCTTTCCTCTTTCGCCTGCCTTCGTTCCTCCAACACCTCGGCACCGTGGTGATCTTTAAAGATCGTATTATTCGAATGTTTGAAATGTTTGATGTTTATAAGCAAAAAATAAATTCCAGATGCCTTCAACATGTCCATTCGAAACGGTTTTCTTGATTGACCCAGTTTCTTGGGTTCCATCCGTTTTTCCTGTCCCTTTGTTTCCCTCCTCGAATCCATTTCTTCGATTTTTGACCCATGCCATGCCCACGGCCTTCTCTCGCCCTTTCAGCTTGGCCTTTCTGGCTGCACGCGCTGCACGCTGTCTCCGCGCCTCAAGGTCGGGCTTCACAGATGAATGGATCGATTTGGCCTCTTTCAATGGATTGGTTTAAGGGAATTTTCCCATGAAACCCATAGATTTTCCCATGAAATATGGGGATATATGGGGATATATCTGGGTAAATTATCATATTTCACTGACCTGAATCTTGCGGCCATAAAAAAAGGGGATGATTTCCCATATAAAAACCATGATTTCCAGGCTTCGGGAGAACAGGGTTCGGTCGTGATGAAATTTACCCAGATGGATTGGTTTTGTTGGGAAAATTGGAACCGGAACCCATCGATTTTCCCATGAAATATGGGGATTTTTGTTGGGGCTTTCCGGTAAAACATGTTCCGTTAAACCAATCCATTGACTCTGGCGAGAATTAACGGTTTGCTATGGAAATGGCCATTGTTAATAACTAAATCATCAGAAATCGAACTGACTGGTTTAACCTTCAAAGATGCTGATTTACCCTCTGGTTATTTAACATTGCTATGGTATAGATGGCCCATGATGGCCCATATAGTTCGATGTTTTATACATGATGATTTACCTATCAAAAATGATGCTTTTCGAAAGCAATGACCAGAGGGTAGTTATCATTGACTTGTCAAATAGAATAAATAGAAGAGGTCATTAATTGATTTGCAGTAATTACCCCACGAGAAAGAGACTTATCTTGATTTTCTATTATTCTAGCAGGACGTACTAAGTACGAGGAACATTTTAGAGGAAACCAGAACGTGCTAGGGCTGCTAGGGGGTCATTTTTTTCAGGAATATCGTCCAAAACGGAGAGAGATGCAATATGACTGGCCTGAACTGTACTAGTTCATCCCCTCTTCCAGGAGAAGTGAATTCGAAGTCCAGAAATTGATATATGATGATATATGAACAACGACCATGATTTTTTCAGAGTCATCTAAAAAACCAGCCTCAAAACGGCATTTTTTTTTGGAATGGATGAATGTTACCATCTGTTGCCATTCCAAAACATCCATGAAAATTGGCCGTGCCAATTTTCGGGATTCTTATCGGGATTCGTATCGGATACGCCCTGGACCCATGGAAAAATGATGAGAAAAGTGGGGCCCGTGTCACCAGCACCACCCAAGATGGACAGCCATCATTTCCGTCCTCTTCATCCGAGGACTGGGAAGACTCCTGAGGCTTGGACCATTGGAGGATCGAAGTCAAGTGGAATGCTTCATGGGGTGCCTGTGAAAAGGCCTAGTGAAAACTAGCGAAAACTATCCCTACAATGTGGGGCCCCCTAGTTATAAGTTGGTTTATAAGCCCCAATAACTAGTTCGTTATAAGTACCATAAACCATAGTGACATTGGAGTTATTGGCACCAACTTAGCTATCTAGGAGGCCCCACTTTGTAGTTGGGGTCTTCCATAACTATCATAACTGGCCCAGCTTCGATCCGAAAAGGTCAGGGCTCAAACGCGACCTCCAACGTAGCTGCCATAGTTTGCGATATTTCACATCAACATAGCCCATATGCGAACCATGGTGCTCTCGTATATTTACCTACAAAACTGGGCCATAAAAATGATGGGGTAAATGGTGGGATTCATATTCCAGCACCATGGGGAAGGCATATGGGTACTTGGTGGCTCATCCCACTTAGTAAGTGGGATATAACCCCAGTTATAAGTGGATTAACCCTACTTATCCCATTTATAACTGGGGTTATAACCCATTTACTAAGTGGGATGAGCCACCAAGTAGCTGCCATGTTTCAATGATTTTGAATGGATGTCCAAAAAAAGAATGGTCCCATATGGTCCCTCTGACTGATGCGTCCAATCTCAACCCCTCCTCAGCGCTCGAGCTGGAGCCGGACGACTCCTGTCGCTGCGCTGGGGAAGACCTCGCCTTTTGTAGAAACCAAGTCCCAAGCCACGAAGAATGGCTGGTTGAGAACCAGTGATTGAGTTCATTCCGAGTTCATTCCGAGTTCATTCCGAGTTCATTCCGAGTTCATTCCGTCTGCTATGGAAATCTTGGGATATCTCAAGATCTATATAGTCGTTTCTAAGAAAAGCTGTGCAATCATTTCGGACCCAGGCGATCTGAAAATTGCATCCTGCCACCCAGCATAGGACCCGACTATGGCCGTTTCTGAACAATGAATATCATCTCCATACCCAAGTTTAACAAGCTCTAAATATATATTATATTATATATATATATTTGTATAATATATGTGTATATATATAATTATATGTATACATAGTATATCATATGTATACAGTATATATATATAATAACGAGGTCTATATTCATATATACATATAATGTGTATGTATGTGTGTGTACATATCATATAGGATAGATATATCGGCTTTTTTAACTCCCGATCAGCCTCGCGAGGCGGATAACCTCAATGTCAAGGACCGTTTTTTAGGGACAAAAACTGCTTGAACCAATCGCCTCGCCATTGGAAAAAAAGAAAAAAAATCTGGCTGGGCAAAGTGGCGTCTTCCTGACTGACCTAGTAACATCTAGTAACTTTAGAGATCTATAGAATATATTCTAAATATATTGTCTAATCGTGTACCCATAGGATCCATGTATGCTATATATGGTAACATTTACCATCAATATACCCCCAATGTTAGCATATATATACCATACATGGATCCTATGGGGTATAATCCCATTCCCCTGATATATCTGATATTCTAACCCTAGTGATATAAATTTGGATCTCTTCATTTTGGGGGCCGCCCACGCCACGGGCTCCCAGGCTGGGTGGCCACCAGGGGAAGTACCCCGGAAAGCCCGGAAAACCGGGATAGCCCGGAAAGCCTCCGAAACGCTCATGGTGACTGCATCATCGTTGTTATGGGTAACTGACAATCTCTACCGGATGATGATGGATGATGTAGGTATGTCGCAAATTTGGGACGCTGGGCCCCCCCAACAAATGCACCAAAAAATCTGCGTTGGGAGAGTTTTACATTCCGACAGAGAAATCGATCTGGGTACGGCGCAAAACAATCCCACCCAAAACCAAGTGTTTGATACTAAAGATAAATGTGGTAAACCCAAGAGTAAACCATCCCCAAGTCATCACCACGAATGGGATTGAACCCATCCCCCAATCGTAGATTTATGTAGATTTTATTGGGTCTGCCCATCCCCACCGCAGGCCTGGAAATCCTAGCGTTGCCACAAGAAAATCATCGAAAGAAAAAGACTTTGAAGTCCTTTTTTGAGAGTTGCTGATAGGAACAGCCCTCCATCCAGGGAAGTTCATCAGAGTTACCCTCTGGTAAATTAACAGTTTGACCCTGGCAGTCATGGGGGTTGGAAGACTAGTTTCCATTAAAACTAGGCTATTTTCAGGGTCAACAAGTTAATTTACCAGGGTGTAATCATCAATTTTCTTACTCAAATGATTCACATGCCCATGTTGAGGACGAAAAAAAATCCGCCCGTGTAAGTCGTCCTGGAGGCCACGACCTTGGCGCGCTGTTCGAAAGTCAAACTCCTGGAGGTTCACTGAAACAAAGCCATGGAAATTGCCAAAGCTGGAAGTAAAACATCTGAAAATATCTGAAAACATCTCAAGACATCTGAAAACTCTTCTTTTGGACTCAAAATCATTCCATTTTTATCATGTTTGCCTTTTGAAAAGCTAATCCAGATACCTCCCAGTCTGAGCTTTTGGGTTTCCAGGCGATTCGGGCCGCGCTTGGTTGCAGCGGCGGCAGTTCTGGTTCCTGCACGGCTAGCCCCAGGGCCCAACATGCCCCATGAATTGTCATGAATAGTAATATTAATGGGACTATTAATAATAGTAATTACTACTAATTGTCATTTACATTAATAATAGTAACATTACTAATATCATTAATTTTCTTAACGCTGCTCTTATCATTAATAATAATATTAATAGTAGTCTGAGTAATAGTAGCATTAAGATTGGTAATGATAACTCAGTAGATAGTTGGTTCACTCCTCCAATGATCCAGAATCTAGCGACCAATCAATCATTCCTTTCTCGTGGTCAGGCTCAGAACTGAGGGAAACTAAGGGGATACACACCCTATGGATGGGGAGCTCCTATCATACCCCCTACCGTCCATACCCCCTTGGAATATTTTTAAAATATTCCGCTATAGTTGAACGTTGTTTTGGAAAAGTATTCTGATACGTTGCCCACGTATGGAATAATTTCCAGCAATTTTGCTTCCAAAAATATTCTGGCAACATGTCAACCTTTTGCTGGAAAATATTCCAGGTATATGCTGAGGGTATCTAAGCTGAACATAGCTGAACATGATGGTGTTTGGCACCATTCGTTCTGCACATGTTTGTGTCGCGCTGGGACAGATACATCATTTTTTCCCCAAGGGATGAAGCTTCAAAGGCGCCATCCCACACTGCATCCTACCCTACATATCCCTAAACTACATTAAACAACTTTGGAAATCTTTCTTGGGGAAATCCCTGTTCTCTCCTGAATTTTTTCCCAACCATTCATTTTTCACCCTATTTCGTCCATGTTCTTTTCATGACTTCCAAAGAACTCCCGATAGCATCCGATGGCCTTGCGTGGTAAGGGCTAAAAAGGGTAAGAAGCGCTTGGTTGTCACATGTTTTGTCGTGTTTTTTTTGAGGGGTTCCGGACATCTCCGCTACCCTTAGAATGCTTTCTCCTCTCAGGAAATCCCATAGAGTGGCATTCAACTTGGCTCTCTCTTGGAAGTGTTCCCAACCTTTCATGTTTCCCTCTATTTCTTCCATCTTCTTTTCAGCAAGAAGCATTTGGTTGTGATTGTTTTTTTCATGTTTTGTCCTGTTTCTGGGCTGGTTGGGTGGTTGTGGCAGCTACTTTTTTATTCGAAGGGTTCCGGATATCTCACATACCACCAGAATCATTTCTTCCCCAGTGGAAACCTCACAGGATGGCATTCAACATGGCTTTCAACATGGCTCTTTCCGGGAAGTGGCCCGAGCATGTCCCAGCCTTTCATGTTTCCCTCTATTTCTTCCATCTTCTTTTCAGCAAGAAGCATTTGGTTGAGATTGTTTTTTTCATGTTTTGTCCTGTTTCTGTGCTGGTTGGGTGGTTGTGGCAGCTACTTTTTTATTCGAGGGGTTCCGGACATCTCACATACCCCTAGAATAATTTCTTCCCTGGTGGAAATCCCACGGAATGGCATTCAACATGGCTCTTTCCTGGAAGTGTCCCCAAAATGTCCCAACCTTTCATGTTTCCCTCTATATATTTCTTCCATCTTCTTTTCAGCAAGAAGCATTTGGTTGTGATTGTTTTTTTCATGTTTTGTCCTGTTTCTGTGCTGGTTGGGTAGTTGTGGCAGCTACTTGTTTATTCGAAGGGTTCCGGACATCTCACATACCCCTAGAATAATTTCTTCCCTGGTGGAAATCCCACAGAATGGCATTCAACATGGCTCTTTCCTTGAAGTGCCCCCAAAATGTCCCAACCTTTCATGTTTCCCTCTATTTCTTCCATCTTCTTTTCAGCAAGAAGCATTTGGTTGTGATTGCTTTTTTTCATGTTTTGTCCTGTTTCTGTGCTGGTTGGGTGGTTGTGGCAGCTACTTGTTTATTCGAAGGGTTCCGGACATCTCACATACCCCTAGAATAATTTCTTCCCTGGTGGAAACCCCACAGAATGGCATTCAACATGGCTCTTTCCTGGAAGTGCCCCCAAAATGTCCCAACCTTTCATGTTTCCCTCTATTTCTTCCATCTTCTTTTCAGCAAGAAGCATTTGGTTGTGATTGTTTTTTTCATGTTTTGTCCTGTTTCTGTGCTGGTTGGGTGGTTGTGGCAGCTACTTGTTTATTCGAAGGGTTCCGGACATCTCACATACCCCTAGAATAATTTCTTCCCTGGTGGAAATCCCACAGAATGGCATTCAACATGGCTCTTTCCTGGAAGTGCCCCCCAAAATGTCCCAACCTTTCATGTTTCCCTCTATTTCTTCCATCTTCTTTTCAGCAAGAAGCATTTGGTTGTGATTGTTTTTTTCATGTTTTGTCCTGTTTCTGTGCTGGTTGGGTGGTTGTGGCAGCTACTTGTTTATTCGAAGGGTTCCGGACATCTCACATACCCCTAGAATAATTTCTTCCCTGGTGGAAATCCCACAGAATGGCATTCAACATGGCTCTTTCCTGGAAGTGCCCCCAAAATGTGCCAACCTTTCATGTTTCCCTCTATTTCTTCCATCTTCTTTTCAGCAAGAAGCATTTGGTTGTGATTGTTTTTTCATGTTTTGTCCTGTTTCTGTGCTGGTTGGGTGGTTGTGGCAGCTACTTGTTTATTCGAAGGGTTCCGGACATCTCACATACCCCTAGAATAATTTCTTCCCTGGTGGAAATCCCACAGAATGGCATTCAACATGGCTCTTTCCTGGAAGTGCCCCCAAAATGTCCCAACCTTTCATGTTTCCCTCTATTTCTTCCATCTTCTCTTTCAGCAAGAAGCATTTGATTGTGATTGCTTTTTTCATGTTTTGTCCTGTTTCTGTGCTGGTTGGGTGGTTGTGGCAGCTACTTTTTTATTCGAGGGGTTCCGGACATCTCACATACCCCTAGAATAATTTCTTCCCTGGTGGAAACCCCACAGAATGGCATTCAACATGGCTCTTTCCTGGAAGTGCCCCCAAAATGTCCCAACCTTTCATGTTTCCCTCTATTTCTTCCGTCTTCTTTTCAGCAAGAAGCATTTGGTTGTGATTGTTTTTTTCATTTTTTGTCCTGTTTCTGTGCTGGTTGGGTGGTTGTGGCAGCTACTTGTTTATTCGAAGGGTTCCGGACATCTCACATACCCCTAGAATAATTTCTTCCCTGGTGGAAATCCCACAGAATGGCATTCAACATGGCTCTTTCCTGGAAGTGCCCCCAAAATGTCCCAACCTTTCATGTTTCCATCTATTTCTTCCATCTTCTTTTCAGCAAGAAGCATTTGGTTGTGATTGTTTTTTTCATGTTTTGTCCTGTTTCTGTGCTGGTTGGGTGGTTGTGGCAGCTACTTTTTATTCGAAGGGTTCCGGACATCTCACATACCCCTAGAATTTTTTCTTACGTGGAGATATCCCACACATTGTCTCCTCATGTCTCCTCTGGAACTGGCTCCTCATGTCTCCTCTGGCTGCTTTAAGTCCGATGATTTGGCGAGAACATTGGGGCCTCTATTGCTGCGAAAAGCTGACAGATTGCAGAGAGGCCACCGAAGGACTGGCGGAGATGTGGATCCTACGTGTGCGAGCGGATTGGCTGAGCTAGGATTTCTTCCATTTTCACTTCCATTTTCTTTTCATGTGCTTGCAAAGAACCTGCGTGGGAGGGGGTAAGAAAGGGCAAGAAGCATTTGGTTGTCATATGTTTTGGCATGTTTTGTCCAGTTTCTGGGCTTGTGGCAGCTACCTGCCCTGGCATCCTCGCCAACTTTGAATTTTGAGAGACTCTGGCTGCGGGCGGAAAAAATTGGGTGGCGCAGTCTTTCTGCTGGCATGGAAGGGTTTCAGCTAGCATCACGGTGGGGTTGTACAAACCAAATTTCAAGCCCTCAGTTAGCAAAACCACGCTGTCATATCAGGCTGCCTTGACCTTGAAGGATTCCGGTGCAAGTATTGCAGCTTTCTGCATACTACATGATATTTCATGCCCAAATATGTCAGACAATCAGAAAAAATATATTCAAAAATATTCCAGGTATATGGGGAGCTCAAGGCCAAAAATATTCCAGGTATAGTCCGAGGGGGGGGTATCAGATACCCCTTGCCAAAAATATTCCAAAACATTCCAAAAAAAATATTCCAAAAAAAATATTCCAGCACCTCAGGGGTATACCTGGAATATTTAAGATAGGAGCCCCCCATCCCTATGGTAGTTGCTTGAAGTCCAAAATCAGGATATGGGAGAGATGGCTTTGTCGAAAAACGATGAAAAACGATGAAAAGCTCCAAATGTGAGTCTGATATTTTTTCATGCTTACTCATCATTGTCCACATTGAAAATCGCATATAAAAATATCATATATATCCTTTATGGGTATACTTGGTCTTTCACCCATTTTCAGATTTTGATCCAATATCAAAACTTGCCCCATCCCAACAACGGACGTTGTCGCCCCAGTTCCCACCTCGCGAAGACCAGATCACCGCAGTTGTGGCAAATCCAGTCACCGCTCTTCATCGCCTGAAGTTACCGGAGGTGACGAGTGGTGACCCGTCCTCCAATTGGATCGCGGCGTGTCCATGTGAATTTCCATGTTGGCCCTAGATGAAGAATATGATACTTATACCCATGACGGATCCATGGTGCTGGTATATATGCTAACATTGGGGGTATATTGATGGTAAATGTTACCATATATAGCAGCACCATGGATCCTATGGGATATAAATATTATAAATGCTACAAGAATATCTGGATGAAAATATGCTGCAGCCTCTGCAATCCTTCCGGAGCCATGGTATGATCCTTGGATGATCCTGCTGAGCTGAATGACCCTGAAGTTTGCGAGGCTAGTGAATGGCGAGAATAACCCACTAGTGATTCAAGTGTGTCAAAAAAAAAAGCATTTGGGGTTTCCTAAAATGGGGAATCCC